CCCCCCCAAAAAAAACAAAGCAAACGCAGTGTAAATACATAGCGGTTAGACTACTGTTTAGGGAATAATGACCGGGAGGAGTTTTAGCCACAGGTAACACATTTTTTTCTCAGTATTTTTTTTTATTTAAATTTAATTTATTGGTACATTCTAGGTAGACAGTACAGTTACATTCATTACTGGGATCTTGTACCTTTACCTGCCAGGTCCTGGTTCTCATTTTTTCCCCTTGTCCCCACCCTCCACCTCCTCCTCCCCTCCCCACCTACAGACACTTTAATCCATTTTTACATTTTCTCATATTTTTTTCCCTTTCCCTTATTCCCCTTCCCCTACCCTTCTCACTGTCCCTACACCTTTAGTCCTTTTCTTCCAGTTTCACATTGCTAATTTTTCTCTGTATTTTCTACGGGCTGTGTTTAGAACCCAAGGATATGGAACCCTTGGGTATGGAGGGCTGACTGCTTACCTCCAGCTACTTACCCGGAGGCTCCCTTGTCAGCCTGGTATTGATCCCTTGCTCTTTCTGTCTCTCCCGACACTGCTGTCTGCCCTGCGTTTTTCAGCTCCTTGCGTTGTGTCTGTTTTCCCACTGTGCCTTCTCTGATCCCTTTTCTGTTGAACGGAGTGGATGTGGGACCACTTTGGGTGGATGGGTAGGGATCTGCCTGGCCTTGTGAGTTCGCAGTCTTCATGGCAGGAGACTTCCTGAGAGGCCTTGAAAGGCCTTTCTTCCCAGCCTCCGCGTTGTCACCATGTCACCAGTGCTGAGGTAGAAGGAAGTCTGCGCTGATAGCCGTGGCTCAAGGGGCATGTGGGTGATGCACATTCCGCAGTCCTGGGTGTGGACACCTGATCACTGCACCAGTGAGCGAGTCTGAGAGGACAGGTTTGTCCTTAGGTTCATGTCACTGTTGAAGATCAGGAAGAGGTCATGTCACATTGGGGACCTGGGGAAGAGGTTTTGATGTGTTGCCATATCATTTCTCAGGTACCGTGCTCAGAGGAATAAGATGGATGAAAAGCAACAAAAAGGTGTTCATATTGTCAAATACAAACCTAAGCAAAGATAAGGTGCTGTAAACCTAAATCTTGTGAATAAGCATGACATTTTTTTGAGTGACAGATAGCCAGGTTAGATGTGTAGAAGGTACATCAGCATAGTGGGAAGTAGAGCGTAAGAGGCTCTTGAGTGTTCTTGTAGTGTATGCCATGTGCACTTCCGTGCCGTACTCTGGTGGCATGAAGAGCCTCTACATTGCCTTGGTCCTATTTCTGTTCTGTGTACAGTTGGCCTTCCAGATGCCAGGGTAATCTCGGATCACACCAGCTCTGAATACATACAGACTTTCTTCCTGTCATTTTCTCCTAGACAAAATAGTGTAACAACTCTTCAGGAAACACTTCACTGTATTAGGTATCGTAAGTCACCTAGAGGTGGTAGGAAGTATGTGGGAGGTTGTAGCTTCCTTGCAAGTACTGTCTTCATATGGGTGACTGGAGCATTGGAGGCACTGGTGTGGACCGGGTCCTGGAACCCATCCACTGTAGAAGCAGAAGCGGCTGGTGTGGGAGGCCTGACTGCTCATGGGTTTGTATAGTCATAGTCCCTGCACTGTGCTGTGGCTGATTTGTTCCTGTGACTCCTTATGCTCCTGAGATTCTTGAAGGCAGGACCGGTTCCGGTTCTACTTCGACTCCTTATTGCTTCATTGTACCTTGCCTAGAGTTGCTGCACAGAACTTGTGTCATTTCTTGACCTGTGTAGCTTGAATGACATTTTATTTATCTGTACCTTAATGGGTTTGGCATTGGAAATACTTCATTCACTTATGTCTCCTATTCTACCTTTTCTCTCTCCCCCTCCAGCCCCACCCCGTTTCTCATACTGGGGATTGAACTATGGACTCTTGGATGCTAGGCAAGCACTCCCACTTAACTACACCCCCAGTCTTTTTTAAATTTTTATTTTGAGACAGGGTCTTGGTAGGTTGCCCAGCCTCGCCTTGCTTGCAGTCCTCCCTCTTCAGCCTCCTGAGCAGCTGGAATTACAGGCATATGGCACCATGATGGTTATGGTATGTTCTCACCCCAACCAGTGGTTAATTCATTGGCCAAGTGCTTGGGGAATTTGGAAGGGCCTGATACACTGTAAATCCCAGATTCTTTCCGATCCACATCATGATCAGCTGTGTATAGTTCAGCGTTTCTGGCCTGTTTTGCAGTATAGAGTTGTGCCTTTATTTGAAATTAAATCAGCTCCCCCCCAGTCATTTTTATGGATATACCATAAAATTTATCATTCTAAAGAGTGCAATTCAGTGTTTTTTAACATACTCACAAGGTTTTTTAACCATTACTATTGTCTCTAATTCTGGAACATTTCCATCACTCTAACACAATGCCCTATGGCCATTATTGGTTGCTCCAAGTTTCATGCCACCTAGGCAGCTTCTTACTGATTTACTTTTCGTATGGATTTGCCTGTTCTGGACATACATGAGTGGAATTATATAACATGTTACCTTCTGTGTCTGGCTTGTCTAGCATGATGTTTTCAAAGTTCATCCATATATCAGTATTTCAGTACTTTTTATGAGTAAATAATACTTCATTGTATGCATGTACCACTTTGTACTTATTTGTTCATCAGTTGATGGATGCTTTGATCCTGCTTTTGACCATTAAGACCAGTGCTGCTGCTGTGAACATTTGTGTGTAGTTTTTGTGTGCAAATAGGCTTTCAGTTTCCTAGAGTAGGAATCCTACTCTATGATTCAATCCCCAGTATGAGAAATGGGGTGGGTTTGCGGAGGGGAGGGAGAGAATCCTATGGTATCTTCAGTAAACATTTGAAAACCTACCAGACTGTTTTCCAAAGTAGCTGCACTGTTTCATGTTCTTACCAGCAGCATACAGAGGCTGCGGTTTCTACATATGCTCACCAACACTTGTCTTTTTTGGGAGGTTCCAGGGGTCGAACTCGGGACCTTGCACTTGCAAGGCAGGTGGCGGAACCACTGAGCTAAATCCCAGGCCTGGCTTTATTCACTTTTTGATGTTTTATTTTTCTCATCAGACAGAGGCAAATGATAATGGATGCTAGTACAGATGAACTTTGCTTTAAACATTGATACTGGCATTTAAAGCCTTGCCTCCTCCATGGTGCTGAGTTTTCACTTTGCAAAATGGTATGACTACTCGAACTTTTTTTCTGCCAGATTTGGGTCTATCTGTTCAGTGCCTCTCGCCACTGATTGATTGCTTTTAGTTGTGCATCTTAAATATTTAAGCGAACTTACTGGTTTGTTCATATTGTTTTATCTAAGCCATGTTTGCATACTTTTTTAGTAACATGTTATACAAAGTGAAGATATTTCTGTAATGGTACTTCTGTAATAGTTTCACCTGGGTGATAATAGGTCAAAAATCTTTAGCAAATGTTGCTAGTGTAAGAGTTATCAGTAGTGGCTGGGCGTGGTGGCTCACGCCTGTAATCCCAGCACTTGGGAGGCTGAGGCAGGAGGATCACTGTGAGTTCCAGACCAGCCTGGGCTACATAGTGAGTTCTAGGTCAGTCTCAACTATATAGTGAGACCCTGTCTCAAAAAACCAAAAAAAAAAAAAAAAAGAGTTATCAGTGGTGTGGGGCCACGGCTTTCTTACTAAGTTAAGGAAAATTTAGTATTACCCTAAGAAGCAGCACTGGCCCTTGGCCTCTGATACATGTTTTGCAGCATTGGCGTGGGTGGGATCACGAAGTCCTGCAGGGGTGTGTATTAGGGCTTGGCCACTACCGCAGAGCTGTGGAAGTGAGCTGAGGTCGTGAGGTCTTTGGGGTGTGCCCTGGAGGGGAGAATTGGGACCCAGCCCTTCCTCTCTTGCTCCCTCCGTGGTGCGCTGCTTCGTCACAGCACCAGAGCAGTGGGCCGAACCCTCTGAAGCCAGGCCAGCATCACGCCGCCCTCATAACCCGGTCATCTCTGTGTTTCTCAGAGTGAGCGGAAACTAGTGATGAAAGGAGTGTTAGAGATCTTGAAAATGGGTGAGCACGAAGCAGCATTTTTCCAGTGTTTGTCTTTCGAAGGCTGCACATTAGGTAAACATTGCCAGAATGCCTTCGTCATGGATAGTTGTAATGAGGCTGCTTGTGGATGACGATGTCTGTCTGTGTCCTGCTCTGTTGCTAGAACAGTGGCGTGGTGCCAGGTGACCCTGGTTCTTCCTGGGAGGAGTCTTCTGCGCCAGTGTACGCCTGCAGAAGGTGAAGCCTTTCAGCTGCTTTGTAATTCTCAGCAGTGGAGCCCTTTTGATGCTTGTGTCTGGAGTAACCTTCATGCCTTTGTTTTCCTGTCGCGTTGCAGCTCTATCAGTGTGTTGCAGCGCAAGCAACAGCCAGCAGAAGGTCTCTTCTGACAGACGTGATTGCTGTGTACCAAAGGTTCTGTTCCCGACCTCCCAAAGGTAAGTGCGTAGGTGTGGCCGTATGTTCTGTGTTCTTGTCCTTGGCAGGTGTTTAACCAAGTGAGTGGTAGCTTCAGGGTCAGGGTGACTTAGCTTCCTCCTCCTGTACCTCCCTCCCACTTCAGCTTATTTCTGATGACACAGATAGAAGTGTGTCACCTTCACCTGTAGTAGCTTTCGTGAATGAGGCATTTGCATGCAAGCAGGCTTTTTCCTTTAATACCTCTGCCTTTGAACTGTATTCTTTGGACTTGTGCTAGGAGTGTAATACTTTTAGCTATGCTAAATAATGTATCAGCTTCTTCTTCTTCTTCTTTTTTTTTTTTTTTTTTTTTTTTTTTGGTTTTTGAGACAGGGTCTCACTATGTAGCCCAGGCTGGTCTTGAACTCACAGTGATCCTCCTGCGTGTCGTAGTGTCTTAAAAACAAGTGAACCCACATATACAAAGCTGATGAATTTTAGTTTCAGGATATTTTTCTTTTCTAACAGGATTTGAAAAATACTTTCCTAATGGAAAAAATGGGAAAAAAGCTGATGAAGCTAAAGAAGTTATGGGAGAAAAAAAAGGTATCTTTTAAAAAGATTTTGTTTGAATTTATTGTTTTCCCTAATAAATAATGGTGATAGTTTCCACTGACCAAAAAATGAGTTATGAGTCAGTTTTGAAACTATAGGTTGCAGGTACATAGAAAATTCTGTATATGTTTCATTTTACCTTAATTTCATGCTCATATTTCCCTATCGTTTTTTCGAATTGAAGTCATTCAAGGTCTCCTTGGAGATGTCAACTGATCAAATTGAGACTGATTGCTTATATCTGACACATAATTTAAGCCATTGAGAAAAAAAATCTTAGCAACCCAATACGTGCAGCTTATTTAACACTGATTTTAAAATTGCTCTTGAGCTTTAATTAAGTGCTGACTTACGTTTGGGATTCCGAGAGGGTTTCTCAGGCCTGAGTGGCTTGGGTCATGTGGACTCTGAACCTCCTGCCTCCATTTTATGAGTGTGATACCCTTTGTTACAGTGCCTGGCGTGTACTGGCATTTATTGGCTTCATTTCTCTTTAGTAGAATGTGAGGAAACATGTAAGTCCCTGGGCCTCACAGTGCCAAGCCCGTGCTGCCTGGCCACGCTGCACCTCTGGTTGTAAGAGGACCGGTCATCCAGCAGGAGGGACAGGGCTGTGCTCAGAGTGCAGAGGAGTGGAAGTGAGCCTGGGGAGGGACCAGAAGTGCTGGTGTGGCCGAGGGTGGGAGCAGTAGGCACATGGCGAGGGAGGCGGCCTTCTCAGGCTGTGGTCCACGGTCTGCATCTGGCTTTGGGGCAGAGCAATGAGGTAATAGCTGCATTCCTTTTGCATTGCTGTTACAGTGGCCAGAGTAGTTTGGATCCCAGTACCACTGGAGCGGTATGCTGACTGCTTCCCAGGCCTGTGCCTTGCTGAGGTGGGGAGGGTAGTGCTGAGCTTGCACGCTTCACACCCGTCTCCAAGTGTGCAGCACGTATGGAGAGTATCATGGGTGATGGCACCAGCCTGCTCCTGGCTGAAGACGGTAGATGGCACTGTGGGTTGGAAGGATGGAGAGGTGGGAGGGAAGATGTCAATGTCTGGTGAGTCTGTCAGGGCTGCTGTTACAAGGGGTGATAGTTCCACGGTCTACAAATCCGAAGTCAGGGTCTCTGCGGATTGGTTCCTCCTGTGAGCTGTGAGAGAAGAATCTATGTTTGTAGCTGATGGTCTTTCTGTTGCCTCTTCACACACACATCACTGTGTGTGTGTGTGTGTGTGTGTGTGTTTCCGTCCAGATTTCCCTTTCTGTAATGGCACCAGTTCTGTTGGGTTAAGGCTTACCTTAATGACCTTGTCTTCTTAATGACCTCGTCTTGACTTCTGTAAAGACCCTATTTCTATGAGATCACATTCTGAGATTTATTGTATACATTGGGCATGGGAGGGTCAGTTTAATCTGTAATGGTAACTAGTATCAGATCCTTGCATACCATCTATATGTGAATAAGGTTGTTTTCGCTTTTTGTTGGGGGTGTGTGTGTGTGTGTGTGTGTGTGTGTGAGAGTGTGTGTGTGATATGCTGGGAATCAATCCCAGGACCTTGCGTATGTTTGGCAAGTGCTCTGCCCCAAGCTGCACCCAGCCCAAAGTGAGTGTTCTTTGCTAGTTCTTAAAGTCACGGCCTTCCAAGTACAGAACCTGCTGTTCATTGTCTCCTTTGCAGGATGGGGAAGGGAGTGCTTGCTTTCTGTCTCTCTTTTTTTTTTTTTTTTTTTTGGTACTGGGGATTGAACTCAGGTCCTTGCACTTGCAAGGCAGGCCGCCAAACCACTGAGCTAAATCCCCGGCCCCATATATATGGTGTTGTTTTTTTTTTGTACCAGGAATCGAACTCAGGTCCTTGTGTTTTCGAGGCAGGCGGCAGAACCACTGAGCCCCGGCGGGGCTTGCTTTCTAACTGTGGGACTCCGGACTCTGTGTGCCTGGGTTTAAACCCCAGTTGCTTAGCCACTGTCACTCAGCACAGCCACAAGTCACCTAATGAATTGCTTGGGTCCAGTTTCTTCCCTGTGAAGTGGGCGTATGGCAGCACCCTTCTGGGGATAGTATGTATTTCAGGGGCTGGAGTAGGCAGAGCATTCGGCCTCTGTGAAGGTTCCTGCTCTGTGTTCACAGTCGTCCTTATGATGCCTTACTTGGTAGCTGATAGTTGACACAACACGCTTTGTGCTAGATTTTTGTTACCCTGTGTATGGGGAAACTTGTGGACATTGTGAAGCCTCCATTACTTCTCATGTGTTCTTTGTTCACAGCAGAACCAAAACCAGCAACTGCCCCACGCTCTTCTGGGGGAGCAAGTGGTGGTGGAGGAAAACGCCGGGGCAAGAAGGACGATTCCCACTGGTGGTCCAGGTTCCAGAAGGTTTGAGCCCCAGCTCTGTGCTGACTTCACAGTTCCATTGGGGGCCCCAGGACAGGTGGGGAGGGACTGGTGTCTTGTCCCATAGCTCATGAGGAGTTCTGCTCTTCAGGGACTCCCTCCTGTTTGCCTAGGGTGACTTTCCGTGGGACGACAAGGACTTCAGGTTGTACTTCCTCTGGACCGCTCTGTTTTGGGGTGGAGTCACGCTATACATCTTGTTCAAGCGCTCCGGGAGAGAAATCACTTGGAAGGACTTTGTCAATAACTATCTCTCGAAAGGCGTGGTAAGTATTCTGTGGGGTTGGCCCCTGGAATGGTCAGGAGGTAAAAGTTGTTGAGAAGTTTTCTTTCACATGGGGTGTTTCTAATGCTGGAAAGCCCTGCAGTTGGGAAACCTGTTTGGAAGCACTGCCCATGCCCGGGCTGGCAGCCTCTCCTCTGCCCCTGTCCAGCTGCTTCCCTGGCCACTGTGCAGCAGCCTTTCGGCTCCCGTGATGCCCACCTGGCTTCTGGGCACAGAGATGGAAGCCAAGCAGAACTTGGGAAGCGAGGGTAGCCATGATGCCCGAGGGGGGCCTTGGCCTGGGAGCCCTGCCACCTGCTGGGTCCGTGCCCTCTGAGCCCTACTCCAGCATGTCTCAGGTGCCACGGACTACAAGGCACTTGTTGTTTCTATGTCAGTAAAAACATCTGTGATGAGCTGCCTGTCATGTTTTGCACAGCATGCCCTCGGTGGAATGGAGCTCAGTTTCTGAGACATTCAAATACAAACGCGTGCATCTTAGAACTGGGGAGCATGTTAAGTCTAAGAGGACCAAGGCTAAGGCTGTGGGTACCCTTGGGGGAACTGCATTCACCTCTCAGTACTTGATCTCTCACCGATGAAACAGATGAGGAAAAGATACAGGTACGAATATTTCCAGAGGTTCACAGAATCTAAATTACTTATTTCTCAGTCGCACAGGAATGTGATGGTGGGAAAACTCATCTGCTCTGACGTTTCACAAACCCAGTGTACAGTCATTGTCAAGAAAACACTGTTAAGGGCCGGGGATTTAGCTCAGCGGTTCAGTGGCCTGCCTTGCAAGCGCAAGAACCCGAGTTCAATCCCCAGTACCAAAAAAAAAAATCACTGTTAAGCTGAACTGTATTAAGACCAAAATTAATGGTCCAGTTGAGTCAAGGAAGGGATGTGATTTAGCTACTGAGGAAGAAATACAAGTAAAGGGAGGAAATCAGAAAAAGGAAAGAATGATGCAAATTAAAAGCAAGAAACCAGCTTGGCTATAGTTAGTAATAAAAAAGATAATGCCTAGATTGATAGGATATGGGAAATAGGCAGTCATACAGGGTATTTGGTAGCATGTATGAAGAGTCTTATAAAGTCCTCAAATTTCTGTTGAATCACTTCAGTAGTTTAATCATTAGAGACTCACAGAGTTGGGCATGTTGGCACATGACTACAATCCCAACACTGGGAGGCTGAGGCAGGAGGATCACAAGTCCCAGCCCATTCCAGGCAACTTAGCAAGACTCTGTCTCAAAAGTACCAAAAGGAATGCAAAGGTAGCTCAGTGTGAAGGCCCCAGCTGCAGTCCTTTGTACTGAGGAGAAAAAGATGAACTCACAAGATTATTCATTTCAGAGTTTGATTAAAGAAAAAAGGAAATCAAGTAAACATCTGATAAGACAGGAATTACATAATAGTCCAGAAATAGTCTGTCCTGTTTCAGTTTCTGTTTTGTGTCTTAAATGGTCAGGAGTCATAGAGAATGAAAAATGAAGATTCTGAATAATTTGCTCCTGATTTTGGGCACACTAGCTTCTTCCCTTTGTGCCATGCTGTTCCCTTCAGGAGGGCCTCCACGCTCTGAGGGGCAGCCTGCTGTGTCACACTTTCGGAGTTACTGGAGTGAGGGGAACTCTTTCCTACTGTTTCAGGTCTTTTCCTTATTTGATAGGTCAGTACGTTAGAGCAACAGTTTATTAATAATGGCTCATCGGAGCTGGGCATAGTGGCCCACACCTGTAATCCCAGCACTCAGGAGGCTGAGGCAGGAGGATCACTGAGTTTGAGACCAGCCTGGGCTACATAGTGAGTTCCAGGTCAGTCTCAGCTACATAGTGAGACCCTGTCTCAAAAAACAAAACGAAATGAAACAAAAAGCCTCATGGAGTTGGGGATTTAGCTCAGTGGTGCTGCTATCTGCCTCGAAAGTGCAAGGTCCCCATACCAAAAAAAAAAAAAAAAAGGCCCATAATTCCATTTGTGGGGTTGATTAGCCTCATACTATTGAATTGTCCTTTCTTTTTTCCTTTTTCCTTTTCCTCCTCTTTTTTTCTTCCTTTTGGTGGTACCAAACCCAGGGCCTTGTGCTAGGCAAGCAGTTTATCACTGTGCTGCCTCCCCATCCCCAGTGTTATATTTCTTAAGTGAGATTGACATACAGTTGCCCTTTTCACATTTGCTGTCTTCTTTTTTCCGATTTCTTTCACTTCGAATAAACACATATAACCTAACTCTCAGTTTTAACCATCTTATGTGTGCTGTCAGATATGAAATGTGGTACAGCCATAAAATGCAGCCATTGCCTTACCACTGTGCCTGTTAAACCGTTAACACCATTCTCGCCCTTCCTATGCCCCTGGCAACCCCATTCTGTGATTTTTACTTAACTTGAGACATGTTATTGTGTTAGCTTTCCTGTTGCTGAGACAGTGTGCCCAACACCCACATCTTAGAGGAGGAGAGGGTTGATTTGGCTCACAGTGTCAGGGGATTCAGTTCATGGTCACTCTGAGGTGGAATATCATGGTGGGAAGGTGTGGTGGAACAGAGATACAGATTTCATAGCAGCCAGGGAGCAATGCCGGAGAGGAGGGTCCAAGGAGCAGACACAGTACCCAAGGCCACAGTTCCAGGATACACCTAGACACACCCAGAAGGGTGTCCCCCCAATCCCCTAGCCTTCTGAGCCAATCATGTTGACACAGTGTGGCTTGACCCTCACAGGTGAGTGAGTGGAATCGAAGGTTTTCGTATTCTTGTAGCTGACTTCTTTCGTTTGTCATGTTCTCAGTGTTCATCCATGATGTACCATTTGCCAGATTGTCCTTTCCTTTTAAGGCTCCGTTGTGTTTATATACCACATGTCGCTCATCCATTTTCTCATTGCTGGACACCGGAGTGCTTCCATGTTTTAGCTGTTGTGAATAATGGTGCTGTGAGCGTGAGTGTGTAAATATTGCTTTGAAACCTTATTTTCTTTTGGGTATGTATGAAGAAGTGGATGTGGAGCATGTGGCAATTCTGTATATAATTTTCTGAAAAACTGCCCATTCTACACGTTTTCCATGGTTGTACAGTTTCACACACCCACTAACTGCGCACCGCGGTTCCCACCTCTCCTCATTGTCACCAGCGCTCATCGTTTGGTTGAATTTGTTTTTCTTTTTGCTTTTTTTTTTTTTTTTGGTACCAGGGATCGAACTTGGGTCCTTATGCTTGTGAGGCAGGCAACAGAACCACTGAGCTAAATCCCTGGCCCTCGTTTGGTTGATTTTGCTGATGGCCACCGTAGTGGGTGTGAGGTCGGCTCTGCTGCTTTGCGCTCCTGGATGACAGTCTGCGTGAGCATTCCCCCCCACCCCCGCGTATGCTTATGGCACATGTGTGTCTTGCTTTTGTGAGCTGGTGCCACTGTTTTGTGTATCTGCTCAGGTCTCTTGTCCATGACTCAAGCTGTTTTGCTGTTGAGTTTTGTGCTTTCTCAGTAAGTTCTGGATGCTACCCTTGCCTTGTCAGATAAATGATGTGCCCAAATCTTCTATTCTGCAGGTTGCCTTTTTACTGTGTTGGTGGTACACATCAAATATTTAATGCACCAAGTTTTAAAATTTTCATGGAATCCAGTTTTTCTGTTTTTCTTTGGTTGCCTATACATTTGGTGTCCAAGAAACCCTGTCCAGATCAAATGTCAGGAAGCTCACACCCTGTGTTCTCTTCTAAGCGTTAGTGTAGTTTTAGGACTTTGATCCATTTTGTGTTAAATTTTGTCAACAGTGCAATGCAGGGTCCAGTGCTGTCCCTCAGTGTGTGGGTATCCAGTTTCCCCATTGCCATTTGTTGAAAGACAGACCTTTCTCCATTTGACCATCGATGGGAGAGTTTGTCTGGGGGCTGTGTATTCTATTCTGTTGTCCACTACTGTGCCAGCGCCATACCATGTGGAGTGCCGTCGCTTTGTAGTAAGTTCTTTTGTCATTGTGTAGGTTCTTTTCTTTTGTCTTTTTGGCAGTGCTGGGGATTAAACCCAGAGCCTAAGCACATTATACACATGCTCAGCCCCTGCAGTAAGTTGTAAAATCTCAGAGTGTGAGTCCTTTAGCTTTGTGTTTTTATTAAAGTTTTTTCGTTTTGTTTTGTTTTGCTATTCTCTTGAGATTTCATATGAATCCTAGGATGAATTTTTCTATTTCTGCACAAAACATTGTGATTTTCATAGGGAGTACATTGAACCTGTAGATTACTTTGAGTGGTAGCATTGGCATTGTAACAATATTGTGTCTTCAACCCACGAACGTGGATGTGTCTCTGTTTATTTAGATCTTAGTATTTTGTAGTTTCTTAGTTTTTGAAATTCCATTATGCAAGTCCTTAACTCATTTATTTCACTGATGAAGTTAGTCCCTAATCATTGCATTCATCTTGATGTTCTTGTGTGTGGAATGACTTTGTTGCTGTTGTTCTGGGGCCCAAACCCGGGCCTCTCATGTGCTCCTCAGGTGTCCACCTACGAGCTGTGTCCCCAGCCGGAACTGTTTTCTTAATTTCCTTGTCAGAGATTGATTTTTGTGCATTGACTTTAATCCTGTTAGTTTGGTGCATTTTCACTGATTAGTTTCAGCAATTTTTGTGGTGGCGTTAGGATTGTCTGAGGGCCAGATCGTGGTATCTGTGAGCAGAGGTGATTTGACTTCTCCTTTCTGAGTGGGGAACCATTTGTTTCTTTTTCTTGCCTGATTTCTCTGTGGGGCAGAGTGAGGAAAAGGACTGCCCTGCCTGACTCCTAATCCTAGAGGGAAAGCTGGCAGTCACCTGCCTTTGAGTACATGCTCACTGCATTTTTTTTAACGTGGATTTTATGAGTTCTAGTTGAACTTTTTCAAGTTCTTTCTAGTTGTAGTTGTATTTTTTTATAATGAGAATTTTGTCAAATGCTTTTTCTCATGTGGTTTTATTCCTTCATTCTGATAACGTCATAGGTGACCAGTAGATTTGTGTGTGTCAAACCATCCTTACATTGCATCCTAAATCCCACTTAGTCCTTTAACATGCAGAATAGGTTTGCTGCTGTCCTGAGGACTTTTGCATATGTGTTCCTAAGGGGTATCAGTTTGTAGTTCTCTCTTGGTAGTGTTCCTATCTGGCCTTGGTGTCAGGAAAGTGCTACTGGAGACCCCTGCAGTTAGGTTCCAGTATCCTGCCCAGTATATGACACAGGCCTGAGAAATAAAACTAAAAGACGGGACTAGGAGAGAAGGCAGGATGCCAGGATGACCAGTGCCAGTGGAACTGACAGAGGTGCTGGCCAGTTCAGGCGCTGACTCATTGGCATTCAGTTGGAGTAAAGGCAAGCTACATGCAAGGGCAGGGTTATGTGTGGTTTCTCTGGAAATTAATGTAAACAAGGCTCCTGAAGGGCAAGGCAAGCATTCTCAAATTAGGAACAGAATAGACAAAATCGATGGCTGTAATTAGAACATTGTCCTCTGAGTAAGAAGGTTGTGAGAATAGAATTTGGGTGCGAGTTACTCTTAACCTTGGGCATGTAGGTTTCAGACAGACTCCCTTCTCCAAACAAGCCAGTTGTGAGGTGAACTCTTCACAGCCTGCTTTAGGCATAACCAATATTATCTGCAAATACTGGCTTCAGAAAGTGAGTTAGGAAGTGCTCCCTCTTTCCATTTTTTGAAACATTTGAGGATTGTTATTAGTTCTTCTATAAATGTTTTCTTACAAGTTACCAGTAAAGACACCTGGCCCTGAGCTTTTGTTCCTCAGATTTTTAAAAATTATTGATTCCATCTCATAACTAGTTAAAGGTCTACTCAGACTTTTCTTTCTTTGTGGGTTAGTCTCAGTAGGTTTTGTGTTTCTAAAGTAAGTCCTGTAAATAGCATATAGTTGCACTGTATTTTATTACTTTTAAAATAATCACTGCTAGAGAGGGACTTCTGTCATTTGTATTTGTTTCCTACCAGTATGTCTTACAGCTCTTTGTGCCTATTTCCTATTTTTTGTGTTTAATAGATTTTTTTTGTAGTGAAATATTTAAATTCCTTCCTTATATTTTATATGTTTTCTTTGTTCTTACCATGGGGTTATATTTTATATCCTAAAGTTAACAATACTAATGAATTTGTACTGGCTTCACATCTGTGACATAGAACAACCCCAGCTGTGCCCTGTTTGTGGTGTCACAGGATTATGTCTTTATATATCGTATGCCCTGAACATAACTTGGCAGTTACCTCAAAGGCATCAGTCAACAAACTGTGGAGTTACAGACCAAAGCTGCAGTAACGTTAGCTTTCATAGTGGCCCTGGATTTATCACTGTTGAGACCTTCCTTTTCCCGTGTGTCTCTGGTGTCCCTTGATGTCACTGTGTAGGGGTTGTTTCTTGGGTGTTTCCTGCAGGACAGGCCCAGTGGTAATGCACCCTCACCCCGGCTTTCCTTCACCGGGAAGGACAGTTTGCCGAGTGAATAATTCTTGGCTGGCAGATTTTTCTTTTACCCCTTTGAGTATTGGCCCACTGTCTTTGGCCTCCAGTTTCTGATGAGAAATAGTTCATGATCTTATTTGAGAGCCTGTGTATATGATGAGTAACTTTTAAAATTCCTCTTTTCTTTGACTTTGAAGTTTTATTGTACATAATGTTCTCAGCGTGGGTCTCTGGGTTCATTTTACTTAAGTTCATTGGGTGCAGCTCTTTTCTTTTCTTTTCTTTTCTTTTCTGTTCTGTGTTGTTCTGTTCGAGACAGGGTCTCACTATGTAATTGAGACTTAACCTGGAACTCACTATGTAGCCCAGGCTGTCTCGAACTCACACTGATCCTCCTGCCTCAGCCTCCCAAGTGCTGGTATTACAGGTGTGCACCACCACGCCCAGCTTGGGTGCAGCTGTTCTTATTCTTTTTTTGTTGTTGTTCTTATTCTTGTTTTTCATCAAATATGGAAAGTTTTCAGCTGTATTTTTAAAAAGTATTCTCTCTGCCCCTTTCTTCTCCTGTGACCACAGTGTGTGTCCAAGTCCATCCACTTGATGGGCCCTGCGGATTCCTGAGGCTTTGATCACTTTTCTTTGGTTGTTTTTCTTTCTGTTCCTCAAGCTCTGTAATTTCAGTTGTCCTGTTGTTCATTGTTTTGTTCTCCTGCCTCTGGACCCCTCTGATGAATTTTTATTTCAGCTGTTGTACTCTTCAGCTCCGGTTTCTTTTGTTTCTGTTTTAAATTTTCTTTTTATTGATATTTTTGTTTTGTTCATTTTCTTGATTTCTTTTGTATTTTCCTTCTAGTTCTTTGAGCTTTATTATTTTCTCCAAGTACTGAGGATTGAACCCAGGCGTTTGTACTGAGCCTACAACCCAAGACTTTTTTTTTTCAGACAGGTTCTTGCTAAGTTGCTAAGCCACCCAGGGTGGACTTAAACTCATGATCCTCCTTCAGCCTCCCAGAGTGCTGTGATTATAGGCATGTGTCACCTTGCCTGGCTCTTTAAGCATTTTAATCCTTTGTCTAAAACATCTGCCATCCGCTCTTCTCTAGGGAGAGTTTATGTCTGTTGTTGTTGTTGTTGTTGTTGTTGTTGTTGTTGTTGTTTTTCTTTTATTTATTTATTTTTTTGGTACCGGGATTGAACTCAGGCCCTTGTGCTTGTGAGGCAGGTGCTGGAACCACTGAGCTAAATCACCAGCCCTGTTGTTGTTTTAATGAGCCACACTTCTCTGTCTCTGTATGCTTTGTGATTTTTAATTTTGTGGTGGTGCTGAAAGCTGGCCCTGTGAGTCTCGTAGCACACTCTGGAAATGACATTTTCTCCTCCTCTCCAGGTTGCTGTTTAGGGCCCTCCCTGTTTCTCCCCTCCTCATCCTCCTCCGCCCCTCCTTCCTCTGACTGGGCCTGCCCTGCATTTTGCAGCTTCAGCGCACTCCTGCGTGGCAGGGCGGGGCAGTTCTGATGCTCCTGCTCCTCCGTCTTCCCGGTGTTCTCACCGCCTCAAATTTCTGAAGCGGGCACCTGTCTCATGAAAGTGAGGACGTCATAGGGTAGTTCTGGGGAGCGGTGGGCCCTGCCTTCTTCCAGCTGCTGTGTGCACGGCCCTGTGGCTCCTCCCAAGTGCACAGCATTCTTTCCCCTCCTAGCCTGCTGGCTCTTTGGCTTCAGTTTTGGGAGAGTGCTGGGAGCCATTCCCTGCCAGACTGGCCACCTGTGAAACAGAACTCGGGAGTCTCTGGAATTTTCCTGGGGTCCACTCTGTGTTTGTCCCTCATACCTTCCCGATAGGAGACAGGCTTGCCCCAAGTGCTGTCTTTGAGTCAGCCGAGACCTTGGAGTGAGGTGTTGGAGGTGCTGCCGAGAGTCCAGTGTGTTTAGAAGAGTAAAGAAAATGGGTGTAAACCGTTCCATACCAGCATGGGGAGAAGTAAGAGCTCTAAGGCTAGCAGATGTTGGTGTGGCTGTAGAGCAACAGAAGACTTCGGCTGAGGGGTGGGAGCCACTGTGGGAGCTGGTGCCCTGCTAGTAAAGCCTCAGCTGTCTGCCTGCAGGAGAGCTCCTGGAAGGTCTGCAGGAGTGTCCAGAGCTGTGCTGCTGGTGGGGAGAATGGATAAGCAACCCGGGGATGTGCTTACCGGGGGCATGGACACCCCAGAGAACCGAGAGGGTGGGCTGGGTAAACCTCACAGAGGGAACGTCGGCAGGAAAAGAAAGGTGTAGAAGAGTGGGCCCATCTTTAGACGTGGGGACGGGTTGTGCTGAGGGTAGGATTGCCTGGGCCCACAGGTGTGGTGTAGACCGGGACGTTCAGGCAGGATCATCTCTGGTGTGGGAGCCAGGTGGCTTCCATGGTGGTAGAGGTGCGGATGCAGGTATCCTTTTCCGGTTACCTTTTTTGTAAGTGTGAAGTATCCCATACAAAGTGCCTGTAGGAGCATCTCGAGTATTTTCTGTAAATGTATGTTTGATTATTTAATGTTTTAAATTTGTAGGTAGACAGACTGGAAGTCGTCAACAAGCGTTTCGTTCGAGTGACTTTCATACCAGGAAAGACTCCAGTCGATGGGGTAAGTTGTGTCATTGTTGATAAGCTCGGTGGTAAATTAATGCCCCTCATACAGCAGTAGATGTGACAGCAGGGTGGGCTGTGTGCCAGGTGTAACCCAGAGAGAGTGGAGACGCGGCCTTGGGCATGCTCATGATCCTGGGCCAGGCAGTGCTCTGTCTGCTTCCAGCCGAGCAGCAGCGTGGTGCAGGAGGAGGAACAGTGTGGATCCCAGCAGCACCCTCTACCTTTGTGCATGGGGAAACAGCTAAGACTGTGCATGAAGGCGTCAGTGCAAGAGCGTTAAAACTGGTCCGCACCCTGCCTGGGCCCTGCTCTTCCCAGCATGGTCGTTCGCAGCTCTGTGTCTGTGCTGGGTTGTGGTGACAGCCAGCACTGCTGTCCGTAGAAGCTGACTCTGACATCGGAGGGACCCTGCCCAGGTGCCCGCATGCTACAGCTCGTACCTTTGTGTTAGAAGTGCTCTTCTTCTGTTGTCACCATGCAGGTGGTGTCGGTTTCTTTTTGCCATGCTTTCAGAATCTGGAGGCAGCCACTGTGCCATCTTGAAGCCTGCTGCTGGGGGCCTGTGGAGGCCGAGGCGGGGGCGTTCTCTGTGTTCTGTGTGTTTCCTGAGTTTTCTACCGGAGCATGTGTTGATGTTAGGCTTTTGTTTGAGCTCTCAGATACAGAGAAGGGGTTCCGTGCTGTGGTGTGGAGTGGCGATGCCTTCAGCCAGGTCCTCTGTGAGGAGCCCCTTCTCCGGGCCGTGCGTCTTCATCTTAAGAGTGGGAGTGACAGTAGAGCTTGTGTGGGGCTGAGCGCTGGGTGGAGGGAGTGTGAGTGAGGCACAGGTGGTTCCTGGCTGCACTGTACACAAGAACCCCGCCGTCCCCCAGGTTCTTACCTCCGTGTCCTCCTGGGAGCCTGCACTTCTGGCCTGCACCTTGCTGATGCCCTGTAGCAGCCTCAGCCCACAGGTCTGTGCTGAGAGCCAGGTGTTGAGCCCACCTCCTGGTGCCATGGAGTTAGTGACTGCTCTGCCTCGTGGGGTTAAGGAACCACAAGGTTTTATGTCTTTGTCAAGGAGCAGTATACCAAGAACTATTGTTGTATAAAGCTTACTTGCTCTCCATCTTTTCTGTGTAGACATCACGTAGAAGTGCAGTGAAGTTCCCATCCAGGAACATGCTGGTGGAGAGCAGGGGTGGATTGTTGCTCTGTTTTGCATCTTGGATTTATTGTTTTAATTAAAAAACAGTATCTTTAAAGGTGATTGCAGGTTAAAGGAGAAGCAGTATTTTTGTGCTGTAAAATAGGGCTGATGCTTGTTGCAGGTGCTTGTCTGAGTGGTTGTGCACAGGCAGTGTGAATGCAGTGCTCAGGTGCTGGCGCAGGCACCCAGATGGCTTTGGTCACTGCGGAGGCTCAGCTGCAGGGACCAGGGCTCAGATCCAACTGATGGACACTAACAGAGTGTGGGGCACAGTTGTCCCTCTGAGCTTGTGGCTTCTGCATCTTCAGCCTCAATGGATCCAATCAGCTGTGGATTGAAAATACTGAGAAAAAAACTTTGTGTCTGCCCTGAGCGTGTATAGGCTTTTTTTCCTGGCGTTGCCTGAGCAGTCCAGTGTGACATCTGTGTACGGGGCGCTGGCACTGGGCCAAGTATTCTGGGCATCTGGAGATGGCTTGAAGAACACAGGAGGCAGTGTGTGTGCTGTGTGTCAGCACGACAGTGCTTTGTGGGAGAACTGCACATCTGCGGGTTCTAATACCTGTGGTGGTTTGGAATCGGCTCTGCCGAGGAAGGATACCTCTGTGCTGCTGTGAGGTTGCTGTCACCCAGGCCCTTGGTGTCCCTGTCCGGGGCTCTCAGGGACTCCTGGCTCCAGGGAGAGAAGCGAGTGCTGACCGACGCACGGTGCCTTCCTGGTGGCTCAGTGCTTCCAGTGGGATCCTCAGGGCGAGTGCTTGGTGTGCCAGGGTCCAGAGCAGGGCCACGTCAGGCGCATTGGTGTCTGGCTAGGCACAGGCTGTGAGGTGGCGAGGAGGAGGGGAACACGACCTGTTCAGGGCCTGGTGTTCAAGTAGAACATTGCCGAGACTGCTAGCTAGCTGTGGCCAAGTTTTACCGCTGGGTGAAGCTTGATTATCAGCTTGCTAAAGCCCACCCTTTATTATTGTAATTAGAAAATGAACAGTGAGCCCTTTAGTGAATTGAACCTTTTGTTTCCACTTCATTCTTAGGATATTTGTTTTTCTGTTTTTATAGCAATATGTCTGGTTTAATATTGGCAGTGTAGACGCCTTTGAGCGGAATCTGGAAACTTTACAGCAAGAGCTGGGCATAGAAGGGGAAGACCGGGTGCCTGTTGTCTACGTTACTGAAAGCGATGGGTAAGAACCACAGGGGCGGGGTGGTGCTGCTGACTGGGCTGTGCACGCCTCACAACACATTGGACTTCAACAGGCCTTTTTCAATTTGGCTGTACTTTTAAAAATCACAATTTTGGGCCAGGGATTTAGCGCAGTGGTTCGGTGGCCTGCCTTGCAAGCGCAAAGACCCGCGTTCAATCCCCGGTACCAAAAAAAAAAAAAAAAAAAAAAAATCACAATTTTTTTGTATATGACTGATTTTCTACACATTCACATTTGATTGTTTTTCTGCAGTATTCAGGATTGAACTGAAGGACTTCACACTGAGCTATATCCCCATACTTTTAAAGTTTGAAACAGGGTCTTGCTAAGTTACCTGGGCTGGACTTACTTAAATCCTCCTGCCTCAGCCTCCCAGAGTGCTGTGATTACAGGCTTGCACCTCCACTCCTGCCTCATTTATCTTTATTAAGCAGTGTTTGGGAGTTTTGTGTGCAGAGCACTGTCCTAGGGTTTAAGCATGAAGAGTTCCTTTGTAGGAGAGTAGCATTCCCACCTTATAACTGTTGTCTGTTTCTATTTCATAGTTTCCTAGATTTTAAAGGAATTCTCTCACCAGAGCTTTCTTGTTATAGGCTTTGCTTTTAATCACCCTGCCTAGAAGTCTGGGTGGGTGCTGAGTTTGTCAGGAGTGCGTGGTCGGTGTGAGCTCTTGGCTCGCCTGTGTGAGGCCCTGGGATCCAGCCCAGCACCACACAGTCTCTGGGCTCACTCGGGAGTAAGGCCTCATGGAGCCCACCTGTGCTCACCCCGAGAGCCCTTGCTTGGCAGTTCCCTTGCCTACTGTAGATGCAGAGGAACGCCTTGCTGTGGAATGACCAATTCTGGAGTGAACACAGAAATCAGTCTTAATTTTCTGTGAACAGATCTGGGCCAGGGATTTAGCTCACTGACGAACCTGAGTTTGATCCCCAGTACCAAAACAATGTAAAAAAGAAGAGCCAGCTGTCCCTGCGGCTCGTGTGCTGTTGGCTGATGTGCTGCTTGGGTGTGGGGATCCCTGGAGCCTCTGCAGTGTGTGGGGCTGCATGGCTGCCGCACTGGTGTCACACAGGACCTTTCCCCTCCCTGAGACTCAGGTGGGCCTGGTTCCCCGGTTCCCCAGTTTTCAGCTGCTACTGAGGCCTACACACTGAGATGCCCTTTCAGAGTGCTGCAGACTTCTGCTTTTTTAGAGTGCTGCGATATTTGCATAGACTCTTCCACTGAGGGTCCCTAGTCCAAATTTCCAAAATCTGAAATGCTCCAAAATCCAAAACTTTTGAGCATCAGATTGGTGTTCATAAAAGTTTCAGATTTTTCAAACTCTCACATTTCAGATTTCAGGTTTTTAGATGGTTGCTCGTAACCTGTAAAAAGTTCTTTTCATCAGTATGGATTTTTTTTCCCCCTAGAAATCAACATGAATTTTCCATGGTTCTTGCTGCTTGCCTTAGCAGTGTTAAAAATTCTGTAATAGATAAAAAATTAGCAAATCCTTGCTTTTGTTTCTGTTTTGACCGTGTAGCAGTTTTTTCGTTGTTGTTATTTTTTGGTACCAGGGACCAAACTTGTAACATTGCACTTTCGAGGCAGGCAGCAGCACCACTGAGCTATATCCCTGGCCCTCGTGTAGCAGTTTTGACCCACATCTTCTAGTGTTAGTTCAATTAGATTGCATCATGTTTCCCAGTGTAAACATGGTTACATTGAAATAAACATCATGATGTGAAACAGGGGCACCATGTGGCCCCAGGCTCCAAGTGTCCCCAGCAGCTCCCTCCAGGCAGGTGCCGGCACAGGCACCTTGACTTCTCTGTGAGCCCGGCGGGAGAGGCTGGACATGACATGTGTCACATCATTCGGAGCAGAGGCTGCTGTGCTGTCCTGATGGTCAGGACCCACTCTGGGAGGCTTTTCTTTAGGACAGGTTTCCTGCACCTCAGCAAGAGAGCTGGACTTTTTTACCCAGACTAACCCAGAAGTGTTACAATTTTTAAGTAGTTCAAAAAATATTTCTTTGAGACTCAGATATAATGGTGATAACAGCATTTAGTACTGTGCATAAATGGTGGTTATTGGGATCGGGATGAAATACCTGCAGGCAGCATATGTGTTGAGAACAGGTTTCTCTTTGGTGTCACCCTTCATGATTCTGCTTCCATGGTATTAACACCAAGATTCTCTTATTGCTTTGGATTTAATATTAGAATATTTAGGGTTTTTTAAAAACGAAAATGTCTGTAGCCGTACCTGAAGCAGCTGTGGAAAGTACATGTGCTGTGGTGCAGTTTTGGGAATATGAATGTGTGTCCCTGCAGCTCCTTTCTGCTGAGCATGCTGCCCACGGTCCTCATCATCACCTTTCTGCTCTACACCATACGGAGAGGCCCTGCTGGCATCGGCCGGGGTGGCCGGGGCGTGGGTGGGCTCTTCAGTGTCGGAGAGACCACGGCCAAGGTGCTGAAGGACGAGATAGACGTCAAGTTCAAGGATGTGGCTGGCTGTGAGGAGGCCAAGCTAGAGATCATGGAGTTCGTGAACTTCTTGAAAAACCCAAAGCAGTATCAAGACCTAGGAGCCAAAATCCCAAAGGTAAAATGAACTTCTGGAAATTGACTCCAAACTTATTGAAGTATTTCTTGATCTCAAGTTGTTTTATGAAGTCTGATTACTTACTATCAGAGCTGTTTCTCTGTGCTTAACTTAGGTTCTGTCTGATTCAGTCTTTGCAGGTCTGTTTTTTGTGTGTGTCTTGTTGCCTGGATTGTGTGTATTCCTGAACATACTTGTTTTCTCCTCCTCAGAGACTTTCGTGCACCTCTTTTCTTCTCCCTCTGTCAGAGCTAGAAGCCCCTGCATCAGCAGTCACCACCCTGTAGCGTAGCATGCTCTCTGCTACCTCTCCGTGGTGGCCTGCGCCTGGCACTGAGGGACTTGGCACAGGACACACAGAGACGAGGCAGACTCAAGTCCCCGCCCTCCTCCCAGCTGGTGAGACAGCCGTCCTAGCTCCTGGCTCCGTGCTGTGCACCCACAGGGCGAGGGACGGAAGCTGACCTCACATTTGTGGAATGGATCAGCTGTCAAATGAATGAGTGGCTGATTCATCTCACAACCCACAAGTGAAGTCTACTCTAAAGGCAGCCTTTGTACCAGGAGTCCTCCCCTTGTCCCCCACATCCTGTCTGTGCGTGTGGAACCCGTGCTGTGGCCTAGGGTTTGCTGCTGTGCCCTTGGTCCCGCGCATGTCGTTCCTAGGCTCCTCTGCTGCACCATCCCACAGTCTCTCTCACCTTCTGCAACCACATTTTTCTTTTTAGGGTATCATTGGTATTATGTTTTTTTCTTCTTTGTGAAACAAGAAAATAAGCAAACTTTTAAAAATGCTTTACAGTCTTAGGACAAGTCCAAAAGAGGGGTCTTCTGACCGTGTTCTTCCTGCCGCGGGCGGGGCTTCCTGCATGGCCCAGTGGAGAGATGCGGGCAAGGCAGTAGCCCGGGGCAGACGTCTGTGTTCAGCTCACTCACTGTCCAGGTTCCAAAGTCAGTTTCACTTGCGAAGAGTAAGAGAATTTGGTAAACCTGGAGTGTGTGTTTAAGTAAATCTCGATCTGTCAGGAGATTTCTAGCTGAAGTCACCCTTTTGTACTATGCTGAAAATCTTATAAGGGAAATGTTTACGATTTCACATTTCCCCAAGTTTTGTGAAACAAATTTTTTTCTAATGATCCTTGTCTTGACCTTAATGCAAGAGTGTTCTACCACAGCCAGATGTCTGAGAGCCATTGTATGTCTGGCACCAGTGAGACAGACAGGGCTGAGCCTTTCCCCCTCCTCTGAAGTCCTGATGATGACTGATTGTTCCTCTGTGCAGGGTGCCATTCTCACGGGTCCTCCCGGCACCGGGAAGACTCTGCTGGCCAAGGCCACGGCAGGTGAGGCCAATGTGCCCTTCATCACCGTCAGTGGGTCCGAGTTCCTCGAGATGTTTGTTGGTGTGGGCCCAGCTCGGGTGAGTCCTATTTTGTCCAGACACACACACTCCTTGTGCCCTGTGCTGCTCCCCAGCTGGGGCCTTGGAGAGCACAGCCCTGTCCCTGGGGTCCCCTGAGGGCCTGCTCTCTGGTCACTGTCTCAAGACTCTTCCGGGCTGGGTTCCTACCCGGCCCACGCCTGCTAGGTGTCAGTTACATGAGCTAATTTCAGCTTGTGTATTTCAGGAAGTGGCTTTAATTTGTGAGTTAACTTTTTTTACAGCATCTCTATTGAAATATAATTGACAGGGCCAGAGATTTAGCTCAACAGTTCCGCTGCCTGCCTCACAAGCATAAGGACCTGAGTTCAATCCCTGTACCAAAAAAAAAAAGAAATATAATTGACAGGGCTGGAGATTTAGCTCAGCGGTTCCGCCGCCTGCCTCACAAGTATAAGGACCCAAGTTCAATCCCTGGTGCAAAAATAAAAAAGAAATATAATCAACATACTATAAAATATACTGCCTCAATTACATATACTGTTAAATAGCTTTTGGGTATATTCACAGATTTGTGCAACTGTCACCCACAGTAATCACACAGAATTTTCACCACATGAAGGAGAAACACTGGTTGTCCCTGTAATGATCATCTTCACTGCCCTGCTCCATCCCAGCCCTGAGCACACATTAATCTACTTTCCTCCTGCAGGCTTTCTTTTTCTAGACCTTTTTTGGGATGGGATGTTCATTCACTCCACTCTCCGGGCTGGCCTTGAAATCCTGGGCTCAATCCGTCCTTCTGCCTCACAGAAGGCATATTCTTCCCTAACATCTGAGATCACAGGCATGTACCACTTTGCCTGACAGTGCGCAGTCTTTGAGCCTGGCTCTTACCACTTTGTATGTTTTCAAATTCAGTAACTCCATGCTGTACTTTCTGGGGGGCCACCAGAATTTTCCTTAGCCCTGAGCCCTGTACCCCCACCTGCCAGCCTTCCTGTCCCACCCCGCCAGCACATGGCAAGGCTCTGCTTTCTTGGGTCACGGCTGTCCCAGGCAGTGCGGTACAGCCTTGCTGTGCTGTCATTTCCACTTCCTTTCTCATTTGCACGTCAGCCACGTGGGTGCTTTGTGGGAAGAGACTGTCCGTGTAGACCTTCACCCAGGTTTCAGCTGGGCTGTGTGTGGTTACTGAGTGGTTGGAGTTCTTCATAGATTTGGGATGCTAACTCCTAATCACACACATGGTTTGCAAACATTATCTCCTGTGGGTTTTCTTTTCACTTTCTTGATAGTGAAGCACAAATGATTTGAATTTTGATGAAGTATTTTTCATTTTTTCTTTAGTTGCTGATGCATTTGGTGTCATGTTTAAGAATTTATTGCCAAATCTAAGACCATGAATGTTGATGCCTATTTTCTCAAAAGAGTTTGTAGTGGGCCAGAGATTTAGCTCAGTGGTGCCGCCCGCCTGCCTTGCAGGTGCAAGGACCCAACTTCAATCCCCAGTACCAAAAAAAAAAAAAAGTTTGTAGTCCAGTTATAAACCTTTAGATCAGTGGTGCATTTTGAGTTGATTTTGTATTTGGCGTGAGGTAAGGGTCTAATTTATTTCCTTTGCTTGTGGATATCTGGTTTGCCCAGCATCGTTTGTTGAAGAGACTTTTTTTCCCATGGAATAGTCTTGGTTTATTTTTGGACTCTCAGTCCTGTCCTCTTGATCTGTATCTGTCCTCAGGCTAGTACCGTAGTCCTGGTTACTGTTGCTTTGCAAGTTTTAAAATCAGGTGTGAATGTTTTTATTTCATCAGCATCTAAAATGTTGACTTCATGAATGTAGAGTGCTGTCCCAGTACTTTGACAAACCTCATGAATCTGCTTATACTGAGCAGGACACATTGTGTCACCAGTTACAGCAGGCGTGGTCACGTGGCTCTCCCATCAGCAGCATGCTCGGGGCTGCTGCACTCAGCTGGGCTTCGAGGAGCAGTAGGAGCTCAGCAGGTCAGATGTTTATGAGCCAGGTGGGAGACCCATGAGATGTAAGTAGGAGTCGGAGACTACGGAGACCAGTGCAGGGTGAGGAGGGAAGCTGAGGAGTGAGGAGTTGGTGGTGTGAGAGCCCCAGGACGTGTGGGGAGGCCTAGGAGTGGCAGGGCAAGCTGGGTGTCGGGCACCTTGGCAGTGTGGGTTCGGCAGGAACAAAGGTGGATCAGAGAGGGGAACAGGCCGGAGCGTGCCTGGTAGGTGGCGCCAGGGGAAGGGTAGATGTGGGCAGACACAGGCCGCTTCCCTGTGGGGGCTTTCAAGGCCCCGGGGTCCAGTTGAGGCGGGGTGCACACACGGGGAGACGTGACCAGCCTCGTGGGGTGGAAATTCGAAAGCCAGGCAGAACAGCTGGACTGGGAGACCCTGGAAAGGGATGGGAGCACTGGGAGCCTGTGTCTCCCAGAGCAGGTGGTCAGTTGTGAGGCAGGGCTTCTGCTGCCATCAGCCAGTGCCTGAGGACCTGCCCCACGCCACACTGGACATGACGCTATGGATACATCGCTCAGCTCATATAATAAGCAAGCAGTTCTACCCTCAGCAGCAGTCTGCACGGCCCTGCCCCGGGCGCCGATGAAGCTATGTGTAGTAAGAAGGCGATTACAGACAGTGCTGTAATCACAGACCTGCTTGGCCCTCGGCTCCCTCCTGGGAGGCTTCGAGAGATGGGAGGCTCCCTGCCCTGCCCCGGGAGTTGAAGTTCACAGCTCTGCTGTGCTGTGTGTTGTTTACAGCACTGGGGATGAAGCGAGGGTGCTCTGTCTCCAGCCCTGCTCCCCTTTTTAAAACATTAAGACAGGCTCTCACTGAGTTGTACAGACAGGGCTTGAACATGAGGTCCTGCTTCAGCCTCCCAGTGTGCTGGGATTATAGGCGTAGCCGACGTGCTTGGCCATGGTGTCCTTTAATAGGGAAAAAAAGTACGTACTTGTTGATGTTAAGAAAGAGCAGATGTTGTTAGCATTTATTACACATGCAACAATTTACGGGGCATGGGAATAACCTCGCTCACCTTAAGTCAGTTACTTATTTACCACTTGTTTGCTGTTTGTGACTTTTCAGAAATATAAAACACAAAAAGGATTTTATTAGTAAATAACAGGCAGGTGCAATGGGCTCGAGGCTGAGGTGGGAGAATGACAAGTTGGAGGTCAGCCTGGGCTATACAGTGAGACCCCAACTTGATATAAAAGTGAAGAAGGGGGCCGGGGATTTAGCTCAGTGGTTCCACCGCCTGCCTTGCAAGTGCAAGGACCCGAGTTCGATCCCTGATACCAAAAAACAAAAAGTGAAGAAGGGGGCCGGGGATTTAGCTCAGTGGTTCCACCGCCTGCCTTGCAAGTGCAAGGACCCGAGTTCGATCCCTGATACCAAAAAACAAAAAGTGAAGAAGGGCTGTGGTGTGTAGCTCAGCGGTAGAGCACTTGCCAAGCAAGTGTGAGGCCCTGGGTTCAACCCCTGGTTCTGCAGATGGAGTCTGTAACTGTTGCTTCTCGCTGTCAGGTTCGAGACCTGTTTGCCCTTGCCCGGAAGAATGCCCCTTGCATCCTCTTCATTGACGAGATCGACGCAGTGGGCAGGAAAAGGGGCCGCGGCAACTTCGGCGGGCAGAGCGAGCAGGAGAACACGCTCAACCAGCTGCTGGTGGAGATGGACGGTGGGTGAGCTGCTCTCTTGGGACGCTGAGCTGCCTGTGGGCTCTGAGGCTAACACGAGTCCTCACCGTGAGGGCTGGGGATGGTGCACAGAAAGCAGGCCTGCCGCCCACAGCTCACTGTAGCTTATTACTGGGGCTCAGAAGGGCAGAGTAGGGGAAAGCTTGGAGGAATGACGTGCACAAGAATTAGAGTCAGAACCACCTGTGATCCCGAAGCATCAGGAAACCCAACCATGGCCAAGCGATGCGGGGTGAATGTGAAGTACTGATGCATGGCGACTTACCATGGGGTGGAGAGGAACCGAACCCACTCACGCGGCACTGCAGGGCACTGGCCGGCTCCCCCACAGGTGCCACCCAAGGGGTGCACACTACCACCCACAACCGTGTGTCAATTCGGAATGAAAAGCATTTAACAATAGTTACATATATTTAGAACCTTTTGAGTCCAATGCATGATTTTTGTTGTGAAGGACAAGAGGAGTAAGGAAAAAGCAGCTGTGCCCTAGAAGGTGGGCGGTGCCTGGGGAGCCCTGAAGTCCCAGAGCAGAACCCCATCTGCCTGTCTCCTCATGACGACACTGCTGCTCCTGTCCCCAGGTTTTAACACGACAACGAACGTGGTCATCTTGGCAGGCACCAACCGGCCGGACATTTTGGACCCGGCGCTGCTGCGGCCCGGCCGCTTCGACCGGCAGATCTTCATCGGTGAGTGCTCACTGCTGCGGCTGGCTGGCAGACTCTGTGTGGCGGTCTGTCTCTGACTCTTCTTGAACATCTCCCGGAAGGACCCCCGGACATAAAAGGAAGAGCCTCCATCTTCAAAGTTCACCTCCGGCCCCTGAAGCTGGACACTGCCCTGGAGAAGGAAAAGCTGGCCCGGAAGCTGGCGTCCCTGACGCCGGGGTTTTCAGGTGAGCAGCGCACATCCCACAAGTTACGGGGTTTCAGCTCCGAGTCTGGGTGGTGTGTGCTCGGCCTGTCAGCACCCATCACCGGGCCCAGCCCAGCGCTGTTCACACCCAGCCTCTTCCTCTGCAGAGTAGGTTAGGACCGGTTCCTGACTGCTGGTCACTATCTGTAACTATCAAAGAAGTAATTCCCAAGTGGTTTTCTTTTGGAACTGTCCTATTGAGATAAAATTAACATACCTCACTCTGGGAGCCTGAGGCAGGATGATCACAAGTTTGAACCTAGCCTGGGCAACTAGCAAGACCTTGTCTCAAAATAAGGGGGCTGGGGATGTAGCTCAGTGCGAAGCCTGTGAGTTCAGTCCCCCAATGCTGTAATATCTATCTGTATAAATTGTACGATCCGGTGGCTTTAGTGTGCTGTTCCTGTTATCCAGTCTTGAATCATTTCATTGTCCCAGAAGGATCTGTGAGCAGCACCCTCCTACTCCAGGCTCAGACAGCCCTAACCTAGTCTCTGGTCCATAGCTTTTCCTGGCCTGAACGTGTCACACACGTGGAACAGTGTGCGTCCGGCGTGTGTCCACTCAGGACGCTGTGCAGAGTCCACCCCACTGTGTGCTCCTGCATCTGGCTTCATCCTGGGGCCGAGGTGCACCCTGTAGATGGGGGTCCGTGTTCTGCCTGCCGCTCTCCGCTGGTGGGCGTTTCCGCCTTGGGCTGTGATGTGTGATGCTCTGTGAGCTCTGGCCTGCAGCGCTGCGTGGACTTGTGTTTTGTTTCCGCTGTCCCGGGAGCTCAGTTGCTGGGCCCCATGACAAGTCTGTCCTGAGCTTTCTGAGGAACTGCAGGCTGTCCCCGAGCGGCTGCCCCATTTCCCTCCCACCAGCAGCTCCTCCTGTCCTGGGCAGTGGGTGTGACCGTCTTCCTGTAGGCGTGGGCGATGGTGTCCTTGTCCCGGGGCCTCATCACCTGCCTCCCTCCTTCTACACGAAATGGATGGAGAACCCCAAAGGGCACATGCAACTGGACGGGCACAGGTGCAGACCTGGGTGACCAGGAGTCCTGAACTGTCACTCACGTTTGTTTATTGAGCACATATGCTGTGCTGTAGTTTATTTGTATTCCTACTAAATCTGAAAAATTAAGGGCCCCGTGGGTCTGAAAAGCATTTGGCAGGCTTCTCATATTTTAGTTATGTAAGTTAATTTGTTAGGTCAGTTTAATACTTACATTTATCATTTTATGTAAGCAGTTTGCCAGGTATGCCCAAAAGTCGTTTTCTCAGCAGAGAATGTAAAATGGAGAGTTGATAGTGTTTTAGAGCACTCAGCTGGCTCTTACACGAGCCCTGTCGCCCGGGAGGTCAGCACTGTGTGTAATCACCTGCTTACTACACATTGCTTCATTGGCTCACGGGACAGGGCCGTGCAGGCCGGTGCTGAGGGTAGAACTGCTTGCTTGCTGTACAGGAGCCGAGCGATGTCTCTTGGAACCCTGTCCAGTCCCGTGCTGGGTGGGTCCTCCATGGTGTGTGAGTCGTGTGTGTGTTCCTCTTACAGGAGCCGATGTGGCCAACGTGTGTAACGAAGCTGCCTTGATCGCGGCACGGCACCTTTCAGACTCCATAAATGAGAAGCATTTCGAGCAGGCCATCGAGCGAGTGATTGGCGGTAAGGTGCAGAGGACGCGGGGCTGGAGCCCAACCGTTTCCCTGGCTTGAGGTTGGCCAGGCACTAGGGCCCATGCCTGCTTCCTTCCCCAGCTAGGCAGAAGCCTGTGCCTTCACAGTGCTGCTGCCCCAGCCAGATTTGAAGGCTGGGTTTATTTACCCCCCACCCCCACCCAATACTGGGGATCAAACTTGGAACTTTGTGCTTGCGAGGCAGGTGGCGCCACTGAGCTACATCCCTGGACCTTTGAAGGTTGCTTTGGAATAGGGCAGCAGACTGGGAGGATAAGGTGACCCTCCCTGCAGGAGGATAAGCGAGTGCTGTCCCAGTGGTGGAGGCCCGCTTTGTGACCCGCCCAGCACTGAAGGAAGGAAAGCAGTGCTCCCTTGTAGAAAACAGGCCTTGCTGCCCCCACTTTGCGACCTTCGCGGGGCAGCTCTGTGGAAGTCTGGTCTTGGGCTGTGTCATGGGGAACTTCTAAAAACCTTCTGGTCTCCTTAGTGTGTTGTCTCAGTGAGTGACCTTTAGCATCATCAGAGCTTCCTTTGTCACGTATGACGATTGCATTAGTGCCAGTGTTGGGGACTTCGGGGCTGCTCTGCCGAGCTGTGGGCAGGGTGAGCTCGGGTGCAGCGCTGAGCCCTCCTCGTCCTGGACAGCAGTGTGGTACCTCTGGACTCAGCCTGTGGCGCTCACCTGCTCAGTCCTTCTGCTGCTCCCTGGCCCACTGACCCCTCAGGTGCCTAGCGCTGCCCAGCCAGCTTTGCTCAGGTGTCGCCAGTTTGGCACTTTGTTGTCCATTGTTCATCAGGAACGGACAGGGTCAGCTTCTCGGGCAGGCGTCTCCTTTGTCAGGACTTGGAGATTCTGAGTACCTAGGCTGGGCGAGGAGGTGCGTTCCAGTGTCCTTTGTTTTCTGTGAATTTGATGTTTGACATTCCTTTTTGCCTCCCAAGCCAGGATGTGTGGCGTAATAGAGGGGAGGAGAGTTGGGGTACAGCAGGACCTGGGGAAGTAGAGTGTGTGCTGACGTTGTTTGGTATCTCAGATTTGAGCCTTTGCTTCGTCCTGGCCACCATTAGGAATTTTTGAATTGTCGGCTGCTTAGTCTTCCGGTCACATTTTAGAAGGGGAATGTGTAGCATTGTGCAGCTGTCGTTCACTGTCATGTCCCTGACACGGTGAATGGTTTCTTATTTGTTAGGCTTGGAGAAGAAAACCCAGGTCCTGCAGCCTGAGGAGAAGAAGACAGTGGCATACCATGAAGCAGGCCACGCAGTCGCCGGCTGGTACCTGGAGCATGCAGACCCTCTCCTAAAGGTGAGGCCGAGTGTGGGGCGGCGGAGTGCCCCGGGGGCCATGCGGGGACAGGGCGCCCAGTGGGGACATGAATGCTCAGTGCGTGCTGCATATATGAAGTGGTTCGTCTGGCCCTCCCTCGGCAAGGTATGCGGTGAGGACAGAGCTGTCTGGAGGGACAGGAAGGTCCCAGAGCGGAGCGGAGGTGGGGGAGTTCACTCTTGGACAGTACGGCCTTGGCTGTGAGACAGAGTGCCTGCTCTATCCGCCACAGCAGGCACGGGAGCATTGCCTTCTGGAGGTGGCAGAGGGCAAGAGAATGCTGGGATGAAGAACTCCAGAGGGCGGGACCCACATCTGAGTGAAGCCACCGGATCCCTGACAAAGTGTGCACAGGGCCCAGGGAGTGGAGGAGGCCAGAGGTGGCCCTGTGTGACCCCCACACTGTCCGGCAGATGGCAGCAAAGCTGCTCACTGCTGGGGCTGTCAGAAGACACCTGGAAATCCGGGTCCTGGGAGAGGGAACAGCAAAGTAGCCCAGAGCCTGCTGACCCTAGAACCAGTGGGTGAAGTCAGCAGCTTGCAGAATTGAGCTTGGAGCACAAAGATCAGTCGTGTTTCTGTAGATCTGCAATGAATAATTGGAAAATGAAGTTTTAAAAATTCAATTCCATGGTGATTGGGTTGAACACAAAGTATAGTAGTAACTGATCTCCCCTTCTTCCTGAATAAGTGAGCAGATAATTAAATATTGATGCTGCTGTCCTTGAACCTAAAAAAAAAAAATCCATTTGCACGCTTGGCATGATGGTGCATGACTAAAATCCTAGCACCCTGGGAAGCTGAGGCAGGAGGATCACAGATTCAACCCAGCCTGGACAGTTGAACTACTGAGGGAATCCTTCTCTCAAAGGAATCAATCAATCAATCAATCAATGGCAGCTGCAAAGATTGCTTCTTGGCCCAAGTTACGTACCCACTACCAGGAAAGAAAAATCCATTTTTCTGAGCATCCCAAAACATGAAATACGGAATATTTAAAGAAAATATTTTTCAGACCTATACATTGAGTTAGCCAGACATAAAAGTAAAATAAAAATACTGTATCACAGAATGTTACATCAGTTCTCCCCAGACCTACAGATTTAGGCAGGTGCAGTGGCACACATCTGTAGTCCCAGTTACTTGGAAGGCTGAGGCAGGAGAATCACGAGCTTGAGGTCAGCCTGGGCGCGATAGTGAGACCTTGCCTCAAAAAACCTACTGGGGGCTGGGAATGTAGCTCAGCGGCAACTGCATCTACCTTGCAAGCACAGGGTCCTGAATTTGATCTCTGGTACCCAAAAAACCTATTGGTCTAGTTTCACTCTCTTACCATAATTTTGTGTAAATTGTGGTGCTGAATCTAAAGTTGTGTGGGAATATAGGTGAACCAGAATAGCCAAAACAGGTAAGTGGAAGGGTTCTACCTCCCAGCTTTGAGACTACACAGCTGCACGTGCAGATGGAGGCCCTGGTAAGAGGACTGGACAGAGGTCTCTGTCCACTGCGGGGCCACTTAGCTCATTGTCCACTGAGGGACCAGAGTCACTCACGGGAGGAAAGGTGGTCTGATGAGCCGGTGATTCTGGTACCAAGATGCATGTGAGCAAGTGAACCTGGACCCTGCAGCATTTCTAAAGGCCAACAGAGGTACAAATCTTTGTGGCCTCGAGTATGGACAATTCTCAGTATAACAGCATGAACCACAGAAGAAGTTCATAAAAACACCTAAAAAAATTAAACATCTCTTAAAATTAAACACCTTTTTGTCTTTGTAAGACCCTGTTAAGAGACTGGAAAGGCAGACCTATGCTCTGACTGTTTGCAGTGTCTGTTTATGACGGGGAACTGGGTCTGCTGCAGGCAGCCTGTCAGTAACTCTTAACGCAACAGTGGGCAGGTGTGCAGTGAGTACTCAGTGCCGGAGAATAGTGCCGCTAGTCTTCAGGGAGCTGCACATCAAATCGCAGTGAAATGACGAAACACCAGGAACGCTCTTGTGCACAGCCTATTGTCAGTAAGGATGAGGAGCGGTTGGAGCCTCGCCTGTAAAATGGTGCAGCCCCTTGGGAAAGAAGCTTCTGATTTCTTTTTTTTTTTGGTACCGGGGATCGAACTTGGGTCCTTGCACTTGCAAGGCAGGCCACCAAACCGCTGAGCTAAATCCCCAGCCCCAAGAAGCTTCTGGTTTCTTACAAAGGTAAACACTTCCAAAATCCAGGCAGGCCCACAAAGTGGTGTTGGCCCAAGATAAGTGCAAATGTCCACAGATTGTCACTGCTTTGTTTGCAACGGCCATGGCCCAAGCACATGGGCGTCCATCAAGAAGGAGTGTCCGTCTGAGTCCCTTATCCAGCGGCCCACAGTGGTAAAGGGGGTGGACCCTGCAGTGTGGGTAAACCTCAGACATGGGGAAGGAGCCGGCTGTAGAAAGGATGCACCCTACGGCTGCGTTTATACACAGCTGGGGAGTGCTGGCCACAGTGACAACTTTGGGTATTGTCATTGTGCTCAGAAGCTGTGCTCATCAGAACCATTGAGCTTTGTCCTTAGAACGGGTACTTCTACTCTAGAAATCCACCCTCAGTGAAGTTGGCTTTAAAAGATGAAAGGGATTTGTCTGACTGTAAAAGAGGGCTGGGAGAGGAAACGGGTGGCAGAGCCCAGCTACCACCCCGCCCCCAATGAAGCTGGTGGCTGTGCTTGCAGAGCGATTGAATCTGCCTGTCGCTCTCACCCAGGGCACCTTTGGTCAAGTGGAGCGGTCTCAGCTGAGTCTCAGAGGAACAGGAAGTCCTGTGTAGGCCTGGAGGTGGAGTCCGGAAGGGAGGCACCTGCTGGCTGTCTCTGCTTGCTGTCCCTTAGCTGGGCCTCCTGCTGCCAAGTTCAGCGTCCTGAGCAGATACATGCTGGCGCCTGTGTGCAGCGGGCTGTTCAACACATGCATTTTCTCCCGCCCAGGTGTCCATCATCCCCCGTGGCAAAGGGCTAGGCTACGCCCAGTACCTGCCAAAGGAGCAGTACCTGTACACCAAGGAGCAGCTCCTGGACCGGATGTGCATGACCCTGGGTGGCAGAGTCTCTGAGGAGATCTTCTTTGGGAGGATCACCACCGGTGCCCAGGACGACCTGCGGAAGGTCACACAGAGCGCCTATGCCCAGGTGAGTCAGCAGGCCTGGGAGCTGGCATCCAGCATGGTCCTGCGTCTCTGGCTGCAGTTTTGTGGCAGGGCGTACGTCTTAGATCCAAGGAAGAGCAAAACGAGGCTTCCTGAGCGTCCTGTCTGCACACAGCACACCCACAGCAGGACCTGCCCCTCCCTCCCTCCAGTCCCCCAGCAGCCGCTCCTCGCTTGTCACACCCTCCCTGTGGTCATTCACTCTCCTGGTGTCCGGTTCTGGGCAGTAGGTTTTGCCATCTTTGGATGTGTTGTGTGTGACTTTTTCAGGAACTGCTAGCTATACCACAGCTCTTCTTTGTTCAGCACTTTCTCTAATTCTAAGGCCTCAGTTTTTTAAATGGGCTTTCTGTTTTTTTGAGACAAGGTCTTGTTATATAGTTCAGCCTGGCCTTGAACTCATGGAGACCCTCCCGCCACGGCCTCATGAGTACTGGGATTGCAGGCATGAGTCACCATGTCTAGCTTGAAAATATTTTTACAGTCACTTTTTTTTCCCAGTACTGGGGATCAAACTCAGGATCTTGTGCTTGCCAGGCATGTACGGTGCCACTGAGCTACATCCCTGGCCGGGCCCCCCTTTTCCAGTCATTTTTAATCTGCTGTTTTCTCTTAGGTCATTATGGCTATTTGCTCTTGTTCCTTTTTTTAGTTTAATCTCTATTTTAAGAATAATTTTTCTCAGGCTGGGGATTTAGCTCAGTAGTTCCACCACCTGTCTTGTGAGCACAAGGTCCCAAGTTCAATCCCTGGTTCAAAAAAAAAAAAAAAAAAAGAATTTTTCAGGATTTATTTCATGCTTCCCTGCCAGTACCTCGTCCGTTGGTAGGTTTGATTCCTGTAGCTCTTCCCTGTTTTCGGTCCCTTCTCTGGTTCCTCAGCTGTCTGTGGAGGAGCAGGACGTGGTGTCTAGCCCACTCCCCGTCTGCTGAGATGCTGTTCTGTCACTCAGGAGTGGAGGGACCAGGGTAGAGCCAGGCTGTGATTCCCTGCAGTGGCCCGGAGTGTTGGATTGTGCTCCTGGCCCAGCTTCTCCTTCCTGGCCAGCTCGGGTTCTGCATCCCAGCACCCTCCCCACGTGGTGCTGGCACGGTGGCAGCCACGGGCTCAAGCTGACTCGGCAGCCCCGTCCACAGGGGCACGGTGTGCAGGAGAAGCCGGTGCCCAGGTCCCCAGGCTTGCCCTTCAGTCTGTCCGGGCTCCTGCTTCTCTGCCTCCCTCACACGGGCAGCAGGCGCCCATGGGTGTCCAGCCCTCCTGCTGGCGAGGGGCTCAGAGCAGGATGGCCCCGCTGCTGCTCTCTGATGGAGCATCCGGTCCCTTTGCCCCGGGAGCCATGCAAACTTTGCCCAGTGGCGGGCACACTCCCTCGCCACCTGTTACTGTTTCCAGATCGTGCAGTTCGGCATGAACGAGAAGGTCGGGCAGATCTCCTTCGACCTCCCACGCCAGGGCGACATGGTGCTGGAGAAGCCGTACAGCGAGGCCACTGCCAGGCTCATTGACGACGAGGTGCGGATCCTGATCAGTGAGGCCTACAAGAGAACTGTGGCTCTCCTCACAGAGAAGAAGGCTGATGTGGAGAAGGTGGGTGCTCTCATGGGGCCCTGGGGTCCTGGAGTGGCAGAACTGCCGTTAGTGCCAGGCTGCATCTCCCCGTGTGCCAGCTCTAGGCTCCACTGCAGGAGCCCATGGATGACGCTCTGAGCACTGCGTGGCCCACGGTGCAGGCTCTTTCCCCCATCCTGGCGGGGCCGCCTCCATGGGAGCGTGTGGTCTCCCATGTGTGCCATGAATGGGCAGGTGGAGAATCAGCCAGCCCGTGAGCGGCCTGAGCCCTAGGGAGAGGCCTCCCTGCAGTCAGTAACCTCCTCTTACCCTTGATCTGCACCACCAGAATAGGGGTTTGCCTGTTCTCTGAGTGTGCTGCACACGCGCTAGGAAGACAGTGGAACAGCCCTTCAAGGGGGTTGGCACAGAGGGATCCAGGCAGCTGTGCAGTTGCAGGTCTTGGGAGGAACCAGTCATGTGCCTGTCCTGTGCTTGGTGGCTCCAGAGGGTCCAGAGTGGCCGTGACTGAGGGCCAGGGCGTGGAGGGAGGCCGGCCAGTGCGGGGAGCTGGCATAGAACAGGGAGCCTGAGCAGCCAGGCGCCAGGTCCAGTCTATAAAGTGGTGTGGCCGCCGTGCCTCCCTGGCCTGCTCAGGCACCGGTGGGCAGGTGCTGGGTGTGCAGTTGTGCGGGGTGCACAGGTCCGGACCGCAGGCTGCATTTGCAGGACATGGACAGCCGAGCTGAGTGGAGGCGGCAGGCGGGCTCGCAGGCAGTGGCGCTATGGGGTGCGAGCTGTCGCGGCTTCAGGACTGTGTAGAGTGGCCCGTGGGCCCACAAATGCCCAGTCACCTTGTCTGCAGCCCCTGAATGGGGCACGCGGCCGGCACGGTGGGGACCTCCGTGCTGGGGAGTCCTGTGGTACTGCCGGTCCTTGAGGAAGTCAGCGTGCGGGAAAGGCACTGGCCAGCGGGACTGGGGCCAGGGAGCAGAGGGGCTGGGTCTTCTGAGTCCCGGCCTCGGTTTGCACATCTGTGGGCCAGGAGTTTCACACGGAGCTCGCAGGACTCCGCTCCTCATCACACCGCTGGCTGGCAGGAGCGGCAGAGCCAGGCTCCGCCGGGCACCGTCCTCTCAGCCGCGCCAGCCACAGGGCAGCGGAGTGGCTGCTGAGCACTGTGCCGTCCTGACAGCTGGAGCGGTGCTGGAGAGACGGCAACAGAGCGCGGGTTTCCTGTCCCTGGCCGGAATGAGAATATGCGTATAGTGGGCTAATTAAAGTTCAGTAAAGGTGATTTAGTCGCCTACAACTGTATTATTATATCTACTTGAAATGTTGCATTAAAAGCGGATGTTTTGTTCGTTTGCTTTTGAGACAGGGTCTCACTCTGTAGTTCAGGCTGGCCTTAAACTCACTGTGTAGCCCAGGCTGCTTTGGAACTCGCGGTGCTCTTCCTGTCTCTGCCTCCCTTCGTGCTGGGATTACAGGCGTGCGTCACCGCGTCCTCCGTTAAAAGTTTTTAACAACGAGAAGTTTGTTTCACACCTTATGGTAACGCAGATGTAGTGACTCCCTCAGCCCAGGCACTGAGTACTGGCCTGCTTGCTCAGCGCCCTTCCAGAGAGGTCGGCGTTCCTGCTGTGTCGCCGCCTGCTGGGCCGTCCCTGGTCCCGTCTCGCTGTGGCCTGTGAGCCGTGGTGTCAGCAGCAGCACGGGAGGATGGGATTTCCATCTTCAGCCTCTTGGCTCCAGGCACCACCAGCTTTTGCTCCTCTTGTTTCTTCTGTTCACCACCCCCTCCCTGAAGTTCTGCATTTAACAGCCTTCAGCCTTTCATTTTTGCATATAGAAGCTCTGCGAAGGAGGACTTTAAACAAAAAATTTTAACAACTTGAGTAGAAGAGCACTTCCCAAATGCGGCTTGGTCAAACCCAAAGAGATGCAGAAATGGGGAGGTGGAGAGAGCTTCGCTGTGCAGGGGTTGGAAGTTTGGGACGAGCCAGAAGCTGCCCAGGTCAGAGGACCCGGTGCCCTTGGCCGACTGTGGGCAGCAGGGCACAAGTCCTGGTCCCTGGCCGGCGGCTCCTCCGTGTCAGTTGGGCTCTCTGTCAGGTTCCAGGTGAGGAGCAGACGTGAGAGCAGTGCACTTACCTGTGTGGGGGCGCAGAGGGCACTGCTGTACCCATGGGTGCTTTCCCTGCTCATCAGCAGGCAGCCAGGTGCCGGTGGGGGGGTCGTTGCCCTGCCAGGACCCCCTCACCCTGAGGCCGCGCACGGGGGCTTCTCTGTAGGTCCGGCCTCCTTTCCCAGCTGCCCGAGGCCCTTCGGATTGAGCTCGCTGTAATTGCATCGCTTCTGCATAAGCTTGGTTGTCACCTGTGTTTAATGGGAATTTGTTTCAGGTTGCACTTCTGCTGTTAGAGAAAGAAGTTTTAGACAAGAACGACATGGTCACACTCCTGGGCCCCAGACCATTTGCAGAAAAATCCACGTATGAAGAATTTGTGGAGGGAACGGGCAGCTTGGATGAGGACACCTCACTGCCGGAGGGCCTGAAGGACTGGAACAAAGAGCGGGAGAAGGAGGAGGAGCCCCCGGACCAGAAGGGCGCCAGCCAGATGCAGACGGGTCCGAGGCAGCCACTGTAGCCTGCCCGCGGTGTCTGACGCTCCAGCTCTGGCTGGCGAGAGGGCAACCCGGGCGCCGCCGACCCACCTTGCTGTGAAGTCGCGCCTGGGATCGGCGATTTCCAGGAGCCCCGAGGAGCCTGGCGGACCCCCGCGTGGAGCAGTGGGCAGGCGCTGCCCGCCGAGGGTCTGGGAGCAGCAGCGGGCAGTGCCTGTGGAGGAAGGTTTTTCCCGCCTTCTCTCTTCATTCCTGGTTCTCTTCAGTTTCTCTCTGCAGACGGGCTGTGGAATTAAACTGGAGTCGCGATGAGAATATTTTGATTTAATTAATATTTTACTGTTTCAGTGAATGGTTTTCTGTAGAGAGCTGTACCATATTTAAAATGTGAACGTATTGTGTACATATGGCTTCTTTACATCAGAAATAAATGCGAACACGGTATTTTTTTCCCTGAACATAACGCAGGCTACCAGTTATGCTCCGGTACATCGGAAGAAACATGATCTCTAGAATCTCAGTGTGGCAGGACCATCTGCTGTCACATCCTGGTGTGACGTGTGGGTCCCAGGAGCCAGGTCCCTGCTGGGCCGGCCATGGGCACCATGTGGGCCTAGAAGTTCATCTGTGGCCACAGCTGCCTCATGGGCTCTGTCCCTCACCATCGCCTGGACTACAGGTAGTCTAGCTGGTACCACAGCTATGGATCCAGAGGCACCAGTCTGCCAGGGCAGGTCAGCCTCAAAGGTGTGAGGAAGCTGTGCCAAGTCTTGAAGCACTGTCGCTGGACGGGGAGGTACCGTCACATTGGCACCTTTAACTGCGTGCGTTAGCTCCCTCCCTGGGTGGTACCCAGCTCTCTCTGTATCCTGGTGCCTTCAGGCTTAACGGTGGGCTGCAGGTGGCCCCAGGCCGCAAGTGCTCCCTCCCAGCTGGCTTCTCAGGGCCGTGTGGACCCCAAGCCCAGCTCATGTTGTACAGAACAGGGTCCTTCGCCCAGCCCCTGGCCCATGTCCCCATCGTGTCTGGGACCTTGCAGCAGGGATGGTGCTCCTCTGCAGTCCCTGTCCCTAGCAGCAGCCTGTGAGGCAGCTGGGTGGAGACCACGTAGTAGGGCGTTTGGTGTCTCCTCACTGCGAGAGCAGCTGCTGGCAGGCCGCGGTGCCGGTGGGTGAGGTGAGGGTAAGGAAGGAGCAACGAGCTGACAGGACATCGTGGTGGCAGACAACGGGCTGGGCCTCCCTACCGGTGCCCGGGTAGCGGTGCACACACACAGCAGCGGTGAGCGGGTGAGAGGTCCGTGCCCTCCTGTGTCACGCTGCTGTGTGTGGCAAGTTTGAGTCTGCCTGGATAGTTCCCAAAGGGCAGCCTTGGGCTGCTGGGCCTGCTGTGGCTGCACCCCGCTGTTCTCAGCACACAGATGGGCGAGGCTGGGCTGCCTGCAGCCTTCCCGTGGGAGGAGGCCCTGAGGTAGGGCCACTCGGCCTGGGAGGGCTGTCCAGTCTGCCTGGGGACCCTAAGGGCTGCCGTGGCAGGGCGCAGCTGGCTGTGGAGATGCCGGGGCTCACCCTCACTGCTGCCTGGCTGGAAGGCCGAGGGGGTGGGGACCTGCAGCCCGGCCCGCTCCT